CGCTCAGCAGCTACGGCCACGGTGTGTGTGTGTGTGTGTTATAATCACAGGACAACCTGAAAAAATGTTGTTTCCCATTCAAATATGACGCAGAAAAAACAACTTAACAATCAGAAATGTTTCATGAGCAGCAGATCGGCATGTTCGTATGAATACATGTAGACTAAAAAGGAACTAGCTTTAAAGGAGTAGCTCACCTCAGAATTAAAATTTCCTGATAATTTACTCACACACACGTCATCCAAGATGTTCATGTCTTTCTTTCTTCAGTCGAAAAGAAATTACGTTTTTTGAGGAACACACTCCAGGATGTTTCTCCATATAGTCAACGGGTCGAAGGTCCAGATGTGAGTTTCAGTGCAGCTTCAAAGTCTCGACACGATCCAGCCGAGGAATAAGAGTCTGATCTAGACAAACCAGCCGACATTTATAACAAAATACACATTTATATACTTTTATCCACAAATGCTGGTCTTGCACTAGCTGTGATGCGACACACATTACGTGATCACGTTGAAAGGTCAAGCGTGACATAGGTGTAAGAACAGACCCATGCTGCGTCCCAATTCGCATACTATCCGTCCTAAATAGTATTCGAAAATAGAATTAGTACGTCCCAAATCGTAGTATGTTGAAATGAGTGTCCCAAAGAGACCCGGATGGTCTACTATATCCGGTCAGAATCCGAAGTGCAGATCGATGCGCACTCTAACGGCTGATATTGCCCACAACCCATCGCGCGCTGGATGAGGATTCGGTTAGAACTACAAACACGAGTGAAAAGTGTTCAAAAACTACAGACATGGAGGACGCGCGAGTCCGACGGTTATGAGTTTTAAAAGGGGTTTGAGTGATTAATTAACAGTATCTAACCTGACGAAAATGTATTTATTCAATGTTGTCCACATTATATTGCATCTGCAGCAGCACCCACGACTGGCAGATGAACGTGCCACAACATTTCTCTCCGAAATCGGCGAAATGGTAAGAAGTTATATAAGATTGAATGGAGGATTTTAACTGTGACGAGATGATTGACATGCAGGGCAGTTTACGGTGATAGGATGCACGCGACAGATCTGTCCGTTAAAGATGACGAAGTAGTATGTCCCAAAGCTTGCCTACTCTTTTGCTACACACTCAAAAGTATGTACTTTTTCTTCACAAAAAGAGTACAAACTTTTAGGGCGTAGTATAAGTAGGCGAATTGGGACGCAGCACCAGTGTTTACAGAGTGAACACGCAAAGACTAAGACAAACGCCATTTACACAAAAAATAAAAGCTAAAACAACAATGTTGGACAATTTTAAAGTTGAAGGAGAAAATGAGATGGAGTTTTACACCCTACGTCAACCTTTCCAACCTGATCACGTAATGCGTGAAGTCGTGGACGTGCTAGACCAGCATTAGTGGGTAAAAGTATATAAATGTTTATTTTGTTATAAATGTCCGCTGGTTTGTCAAGATCAGACTCTTATTCCTCGGCTGGATCACGTCGAGACTTTGAAGCTGCACTGAAACTCACATCTGGACCTTCGACCCGTTGGACCCCATTGAGACACTATATGGAGAAATCCTGGAGTGTTTTCCTCAAAAACCTTCATTTCTTTTCCACTGAAGAAAGAAAGACATGAACATCTCGGATGAAGTGTGTGAGTAAATTATCAGGAGATTTTAATTCTGAAGTGAACTAATCCTTTAAATTTTCATTACAAGCTGTTCACGCATTGGCAATAAAAAAGCGAGTAATACAAGAAAATTCTTACACATATAAAAAAAAAAGAAAGCAGTATGACTTTTTGGGCCAAATCGAGCGTCACCCTCTGAATGTCACAAGACTCGAGTGGTTAATCTGTCCTGCAGGAAAACTGTGCTTTTGCAGATCTGATCTAATGCTGTGTCTGTGTGTCTAGATTACCCATACTGCCTCGCTGGGAAGGAGCTGAAGGGTGTTATAAAGAACCTGCTGGGCAAATGCTCAGACACGCTGCCCGAGTTCTTCGACCACTGCGTGTTCACCATGATCCGAGAGCAGGACCGACAGCCGAGTGAGTCGCGTTCATTCACACAGCACTCTCGGACTGGTTGTTCGGTGTGTCTTGTGTTTGGTGGTCATGTGGTTTTGGCTATTTGCTCCCGAGTTTGCATGTGTGTGTTTGTCTCCCACAGTCGCTGTGTTGTGTGTTAGATGTGTGAGTCAGTGTGTCTCAGTTACAGGAACAATGGCTCTTCTGTCATTCACGCTCCCTCTCGACCAGTTCCTCCAGTGATGTTCTTGCTAGACCTCATCAATCATGAGTTTTGTGCTGACGATTAACTGTCATACAAATAATTGTGTTTAACGATATATATATATATTAGGGATGCACAATATATCGTCCGTCATATCAGTATCAGCTGATGTATGTTCATTTGATGTTATCGTTAAGAAAATGTTGCTGATATATTAAAGCCGATTAATAATGTATTTCCTTCAGCTGAGACACTTCAGATGGGTTTAAATTGCTTGAAATATGATTGGAATCACTTCAAAAAGGAAAATACAGTAAAGTGCAACACAAGTCTGTCATATCGCCTACATAACATTAATATAATTGTGTGTGTGGGACATGGTTTTTTTTTTTGTAATCAGGCTCTCAAAAATTATATAAATATTTATTTAAATTGATCGGCCAATATATTGGTTTTTGGCTTTCAAATATAAAGATTTATCGGTATCGGACAAAATTTTCATATCGGTGCATCCCTATTATACTTAAAAATAAAAAATTAGTCTTTCATAGACAGTCTAGGAAGGTCTCTTTTTAAGTTTTGTTACAAGTTGTTCACACATTGTCAATACAAAAAGCAATTAAATCATTAAATTCTTACATGCAACCCCTTTAAACGTTTACGTTTCTCTTATCTGAATGGCAAAATGTGATCCATTTATCTCTAATAAGTGTGTGTTTCTGCTTTGGCAGGCGAGTCTCTGCACGGCTACAGGATGTGTGTTCAGGCTGTCATGCAGGACAAACCCAAAATCGCCACGCTGAACCTCGCCGACGTGAGTCACACTCCTCATACGCCGTCTTTAAACTCTACTGGGCGACTGACAGGGCTGGGGATCCAGTCAGATGATCCGATTTGATTTTTGATTTCGATTCCCGATTCGACTCGATGCAAATACAGGTGAAACTCGAAAAATTTGAATATCGTGCAAAAGTTCATTTATTTCAGTAATTCAACTTAAAAGGTGAAACTAATATATTATATAGACCCATTACATGCAAAGTGAGATATTTCAAGCCTTTATTTGTTATAATTGTGATGATTATGGCTTACAGATATGAAAACCTTTTCACAATATTCTAATTTTGAATTTGGGGTTTTCATAAGCTGTAAGCCATAATCATCACAATTATAACAAATAAAGGCTTGAAATATCTCACTTTGCATGTAATGAGTCTATATAATATATTAGTTTCACCTTTTAAGTTGAATTACTGAAATAAATGAACTTTTGCACCATATTCAAATTTTTCGAGTTTCACCTGTAGATTTAATACAAATCCTATATTTATAATAAAGAAGTGTGAACATAAGTTTACAAGTGATTAATTAATAAAAAGAAATTAACAGCCACAAACCTCTATATTAAACTCTTGTTTATTTTAGGTACACTTGTGTACATTAAAACAAAACCCAACTCTATATTTCAAATGCATGCAATGAATAGACAGGATTTTGATGCAAGATGAAACATTGATGCTGAAAATTGGACAAAAGATCAAACCGGATCAGGTTATCTTGTGTTTAAGATTAAACAAACATGAAATCTCACAGCATTAGCTGTAACATGCAAGCCTATGAACAGTGTAACTAATACTGGCTTCTGGGTGATGGATAAATAAATATGGAAAAATATCGATTTGTGGCCTTTTTGAATCGACCACATAAAAAAAAAAAAAAGATTAATCGAAAAATCTATTTTCTATCAGCCCTAGCAACTAATAGTCGCTCTTATGACACTGTTTCATGCACTGAAAGTGTGTTTCTAGTTGAACGAGCGGTGTGTGTGTCCTCTCCACAGCACCTGGAGCTGCTGCGCTCGCACCAGAACCGGCCCGTCACGTGCTTGACCATCATGTGGGCGCTGGGACAGGCGGGCTTCTACGACCTCGGCCAGGGCATCAGAGGTGAGCGGTGTTGAGAAATCTCTGCTGATGTGTGTAACTGCGCTTCTCCTGGGACTGAACACGGCCAGCGAGACTGAAACTTGTGAACTTTATACTGGTTTTCCTCATTGCCCTCTGAAAGGCCTCGTATTCAACACGGTTTTATTTGTTTCTTGCACCAAATACACTCATAACATCTCTGTGTATATTTTTCAACACTGTTTTCATCTAGTATTAAATTGACTGTACCTTTAAGTATTCTGTGTGTAAATCACAAAATCTCGATTCAAACACACAGAAATGACTGATTCGGCTCTGTCTATCGGTAGTGATCAAAATAGAGGAAATCACCTTTTGAAAGTAACTTGACGCTTCAAATACAATTAGTTTTCATTACATCGTTACACCAGTAGGTGTCGACAAGTGACTGAATGATTCAATGGCAAAAAAATGTTTTATAATCAAGGGATTTGTTTAATAATGCTGATTCTTGCATTAATGAAACAAGTGAAGACTTTACGAGTGAGTCATTGAATCATTCATTCAAGAGATTTGTTCAAAAACACTGATTCGTCCATTAAAACAAGTGAAGATTTTACGAGTGAGTCATTGAGTCATTCAAGAGAATCGTTCAATAATGCTGATTCATCCATTAATGAAACAAGTGAAGATTTTACGAGAGAGTCATTGAATCATTCAAGAGATTCGTTCAATGATGCTGATTCATCCATTAATGAAACAAGTGAAGTTTTTCCAGCATTTGTTCGAACAGATTAAAAAGTTGTAAAAAAAGTTATGATTCTGAGTTTACCCAGAAAAGTGCAGCTCTAACGTCCAGATAATTTCATGACCTGTTGTTGTCCTGTAGTTTGGTTGGGAATTATGCTTCCCGTTCTCGGGATGAAAGCGCTCTCTGCGTACGCCGTCGCTTATCTGGAGCGACTCCTCACGTAAGTCTTTACAAGATCTTTACTTTCAATCTGGAAGTCCTGGACTATCTGAGCTGAAGCTCAGGGTTTGTTGTATCCGTGTTTCAGGCTTCATGCAAACCTGACCAAAGGATTCGGGATCATGGGGCCGAAAGAGTTCTTCCCGCTGCTGGACTTTGCTTACATGCCCAAAAATGCCCTGTCACAAAGGTAAGACACTTTACGTGAGTCATTGAATCATTCAAGAGATTTGTTCAATCATGCTGATTCTTCCAAACACGTGTGTCATTGAATCATTCGTTCAGGAGTTTTGTTCGAAATCATTGACTCATCCAGTAATGAAACGCATGAAGTCTTTACGAGTGAGTCATTGAATCATTCGTTCAGGAGTTTTGTTCGAAATCATTGACTCATCCAGTAATGAAACGCATGAAGTCTTTACGAGTGAGTCATTGAATCATTCGTTCAGGAGTTTTGTTCGAAATCATTGACTCATCCAGTAATGAAACGCATGAAGTCTTTACGAGTGAGTCATTGAATCATTCGTTCATGAGTTTTGTTCGAAATCATTGACTCATCCAGTAATGAAACGCATGAAGTCTTTACGAGTGAGTCATTGAATCATTCGTTCAGGAGTTTTGTTCGAAATCATTGACTCATCCAGTAATGAAACGCATGAAGTCTTTACGAGTGAGTCATTGAATCATTCGTTCAGGAGTTTTGTTCGAAATCATTGACTCATCCAGTAATGAAACGCATGAAGTCTTTACGAGTGAGTCATTGAATCATTCGTTCATGAGTTTTGTTTGAAATCATTGACTCATCCAGTAATGAAACACATGAAGTCTTTACGAGTGAGTCATTGAATCATTCGTTCAGGAGTTTTGTTCGAAATCATTGACTCATCCAGTAATGAAACGCGTGAAGCCTTTACAAGTGAGTCATTGAATCATTCAAGAGATTTGTTCAATCATGCTGATTCTTCCAAACACGTGTGTCATTGAATCATTCGTTCATGAGTTTTGTTCGAAATCATTGACTCATCCAGTAATGAAACGCATGAAGTCTTTACGAGTGAGTCATTGAATCATTCGTTCAGGAGTTTTGTTCATAATCACGCGTTTCATTACTGGATGAGTCAATGAAGTCTTTACGAGTGAGTCATTGAATCATTCGTTCAGGAGTTTTGTTCGAAATCATTGACTCATCCAGTAATGAAACGCGTGAAGCCTTTACAAGTGAGTCATTTAATCAATTATTTGAAAGATTTAAAAAAAAAACGCAGATTCATCCGGTATTGAAACAAGTGCAGACTTTACGTGAGTCATTGAATCATTCGGGAGATTTGTTCAATCATGCTGATTCTTCCATTAATGTTACGAGTGAGTCATTGAATCATTCAAAAACACTGACTCGTCCAGTAATGAAACAAGTGCAGACTTCACGAGTGAGTCTCTGAGGCGGCCGCTGAGGTGTGTGTGTGCTGATTGATGTGTCTCAGTCTGCAGGAGCAGTTGTGTCGGCTTTATCCGCGGCTGAAGGTTCTGGCGTTCGGAGCGAAACCCGAATCGACACTGCACACATACTTCCCATCATTCCTGTCACGAGCAACGCCGAACTGCCCTGATGCCATGAAGAAAGAGGTGCCACACATCAGCTACAGCCTTATTAAATTCACTTTTATTTTTCTCCACGTTCCGTTTTATTTTATATTTCCACTTTCCATTTTATTTTTCCACATTTCGTTTTATTTCTTCCCCCAAACTCAATTTTATTTTGTTCCCACATTCTGTTTCATTTTCTACAAAACTTATATATATATTTTTTTTTCTTAAATTCTATTTTCTGGATGCTGTGGAAATGAAATGCTGTGTTGTCTCTTAATTTTTTCAGGATTCTGTGTTTTTTATGATTTAATACGCATTTATTATCAAAAATAGTTGTAATCAAACAAATGCCTGAAACTTCAACTTCAATCTTTTAAAATGAAATTTGGACATTTCCTTTATTTTTTTGGCTAACAAAGTGCAACATGACAGAGGTTTACTGTTTTAATTAAAACTTGGATGCAATCAAATGAATGCAGAAAACTTTAACAATTTAATTAATCTTTTAAAATGAATTGAACAATTTCTTTAAAAAAATATATTTTCTTAGGCATACAAGGTGCTGCACAACTGAGGTTTACTGTTTAAATTAGTAACCTGCAAAAATTGAGATATTCTTTAAAAAAATGATGTTTTAACTACAGTATTGTTTGAGAAGTATATTCGACTGTACAATAGTAATATATTCCTCTCATAATTTTTTCAAGTAAAACTGAACTTTTTGTCAGGTTGTGATGTGTGTGTGTGTGTGCGTGCATGTGTGTGTGTGTGTGTGTGTGTCTGATGATAGTTTTCTTCAGTCAATTCTATTTTTATGACTGGAATGAATTCTGTAATTCCGTCTGTGTTTCCTCTGATTAATGTGCTGTTATTCATGTGTGTGTGTGTGTGTCTGCAGCTCCTCAGAAGCCTGAGCGAGTGTTTGACCGTGGACGGCCAGAGTTTGAGCGTCTGGAGGCAGTTATACACCAAACACCTGCCTCAGTCCAGGTGACCCGCATCACGCCTCTGCTCAACTATTAACACACATCAGGAGGTTTGAATTGAACAACATCTTCAATGCTTTCTTTCTGTGTTCAGTCTGCTGTTAAATCACCTGCTGAAGTCGTGGAAAACACTTCCTCCGAAGGTAAGAGCGCACCACACACACACACACACACAGCCGTCGTCTCGTGCTCCTCACTGTCCTCACGTCATGTGTTGTCCTTTAGTTGCAGAAAAACCTCCAGGACACCATCCAGTCCTTCAGGGTGACCAATGACGAGCTGCAGACCAGCACCAGCACACCCGACGTTCATGACTGCAACTCGCTCTGCGATGTAAGACACACACACACACACACACACACACATATGCACGCATAGACACATATGCACGCACAGACACATACATACACACACACACACACATGCATGCATACATACATACACACACACTTGCACGCACAGACACACACACATACATACATACATACACACACACACACACATACACACTCACACATACATACACACACATATACACACGCACATACACACACACGCACACACACACACTCACTAACTCTCTCTCATACACACACACACATACATACATATACACGCACGCAGTCACACTCACATGCATGCGCACACACATACATACACACTCACACTTACTCACGCACACACACATACACACTCACTCATGCACATACACGCACACACACACACACACACTCTCTCAAACTCACGCACGCACACACTCGCATACTTGCATACACACTCTCTTACATACATACACACACAAACACACACACACAGACATATTCACACACACATACATATACACTCACATATACACACACGTGTACATACTCCCACATACACTGGCAAATCTGCATAATTATATATGTGTGCAAAAATGAACCGCTTTATTTTTCGCTGCGCCCTGGAACGCTCTTTCTCCTGCGCGACACACACTGTGCTGTTGTATGTTGATCTACTGTCGCCCTTTTACCCATCAGTCCCTGCAGCAGAAGATGAGCGGTCGGGGCTTCCCGTGGTGGCGCGTGCTGATGATGACGCTGGTGTTCGTGGCGGGCTTCATCGCGCATGACGTCAGGTCACATGGCTCGTTCACGGACTCCACCACAGCGCTGTACCTGGAGAGGTCAGGGGTCACCGCCGTATCCCAGCAGGCCTGGAGCAAAGCGGCGCATTACGGCCAACAGGGCGTCAGGTCAGAATGAGCCAGAGATGGTATTATATTAAATGTTAACAAACAAGTATTCATTACTTCAATGAGCTCATTGTTTCTGCATTGAATTACTACATTGAATTAAATTAATACATTTTTAGCTAACTGTGATTTTTGTATATGTACATTTCTGAAATACATAACTTGGATAGTTACCTGTGCTGGGTGTCGGGTCACATGACTCACGAGTGCGCCTGGGTGTCGGGTCACATGACTCACGAGTGTTCGTGTGCTTGCAGCTGGTTGGCCGAGAACACGCCGCATTATTACTCGCGTGGCGTGGAGGCCGTCGGGCCGATGCTGGAGGACGGGAAGGACCGGGTGAAGGTGGCGTTCGCTTTCATCGCACAGAAGAGCTCACAGATATTCCTGTGGATGCAGGAGAACGTGCCACGGCTCATCGAATGGGTGAGAATTACACACTCGCTGTTATCTATTTCTCTTTTTTAGAATTTGAATGATAATAAAGATATTGTTTGATAAGTGAGATCTCTGATTGAAGTACTTGAGAAAACTAAAAAAAAGTGCTAGCCTTTTGAACGCCTTCAGTCCTGGAATTTCATTTAACCGTATCTGTGTGTGTTCGTTCCTCACACAGATCCACGCAAACACTCCGGAGAGTGTGTTTCAGTTCATCGAGTACGTGAAGGAGCTTCTGCTGTTCATCCATGAGCGCTTCATCATCCCGTCACTGCAGTATCTGTCCACAGCTCTGCAACACACCTGGAAGAGCCTACAGGAGTCCTGCAAGTCAGTCATCAACACTGAACACACACACCACACACACATTGATGTTGTTTCGCTACTAGAACAGGTTTTCCTGCTTGAATGTTGATTATTCTCCTCATATTCTCCATTGTTGCGGCTCCTCTCTTCCCAGTCTGTCAGTAACGCTCTGTTTACTTCCTGTCTCTATGAAGCCCCTCCTTCTGAAAGCACACTGTGCTCTGATTGGTCGGCTGGATCAGTGTGTTGTGATTGGCTGAGCGCTTTGAGTGTGTTTGGGAAATGTCCCGCCCCTTCCCATAACCGCCAGTTTAACACACTACTAACTAACTTAACCAGCCCCCGCCCCTTTATTCTGCACATTAATTATTATAAAGAGGAATATTGTAACGTGTTCGTGTTTTCCTGGAAGAAAACTCCTATGTGTATGTTTTTGTCCCCGATTATCATGAGTTCAAATGTGATTATTGATTTTATACAACATTTCAATAAATAAGAAGTTAATATTGTGTTATTTTTGCCACATTATCTGCTTTTTACATAATTATATTAAAATATTTCAATCGATTGACTGCCCTAATATATATATATATATATATGTGGCTCTGAGTTGCTGAACAGGTGTTGATGTGTGAATGTGGGCGGTCTTATGTTAATGAGTTTTGCAGTTCAATTCACATTTATTTGTATAGCGCTTTTCACAACACGCATCATTTCAAAGCAGCTTTACAGAAAAAACACGAGTCCACATTACAAAGTGATCTGTTATCAGAGGAAACTTAAGTTATGCATTTATGACCCCTGGATCAATTTTATGCCAAAAATCATAAGGATATTAAGTAAATATCATGTTTCATGAAGATATTTTGTAAATTTCCTACCGTAAATGATACATAAAACATTTAGCAGCACAATCGGGAACATAAATGCACAACTTTAAAGGCGATTTTTCTTAATATTTCGATTTTTTTGCACCCTCAAATTCCAGATTTTCAAATATTATCATATTCTAACAAACCATACATCAATGGAAAGCTTATTTATTCAGCTTTCATATGATGTATAAATCACAATTTAAAAAAATTGACCCATGTGACTGGTTTTGTGGTTCAGGGTCACTGTACCTACTAGCTAAACATGTATTGATGTAATGCATGCCTGTGTTTTGTGTGTCTGTAGCGGCGAGGTTTCTCTGCACTGCTTGCAGAATCACGTGAGATCCTTCACGAACAGCACCTGGGTGTACCTGCAGGACGCCACGACCGCCATCAAGAGCCGAGCGCAGGAGCTCCTGTCACGAGCGTGATGCACACACTTTTAAACGGACGTTTCTTCACCTCCCTTTTTTTGCTTTATTTTGTCAATTTGCATGAGATTTTATATCTGTTGTGCTGACAGTTCTGTCTTTTATGCAGATGTTTTTCTTGGTGTTTATTTTACACAAAGTTGCCAATCCAGACGGAGTTGAAAGAGGCTGTTTTTACACACACACACACAGCCCTCATCAATAGCTCTCTCTCTGTGTGTGTGTAGTAAACCAGTGATGGCGGGCCTCTTGTTCCGAATGAAACATGTCTGTGGTGAAGGACAGAGACGGATCACTAATGACTACTGCTGCTGGCTGAGCTCTTTACTTGAACACTGAATATTAATGTGACACCCCTGTGTGATTGGACGATTTACTGTTTCTGCCCCATATGAAGCAACAAAGGCGTCCGCGATTGAACCTAGTGTGGTAGATTGCAAATCAAACCTAAACCCTCTGGTTTTGTCCTGTTTGGGATTTGCCAGAGGTTCAGTTCTGTTGTAGATTAACACATTATTGAAAGTTTGAATCTGGTGTGTGTCCTGTAAGATGAGCTGATTTGTTACTTTGTAAATGATTTATAAATAAATCAACCAATGCTGTACAGGTCTGTTTATTCCATCTGTTTTATTTCGATTTTCATTGTGTTGGAGCCCAAATGCTTTATGTATAAATACAATAATTTATTGAAAAACGTATGGAAGCTTAAAATGAACATATATCATTTATTTGTTGATTTATATAAACATTTAAATCTTGGGTAAGTCACCCGCCGTGGGTTTTGTGTATATTTACAATGGATACTATCCAAGCAGTTTTCAATCCCTTCGATAGCTCAGTTGGTAGAGCGGAGGACTGTAGAGGTGATTCACTGAAATCCTTAGGTCGCTGGTTCGAATCCGGCTCGAAGGAGAATTTTTAATTTGTTTTTTTTTTATTTATAAAACGGTTATTTCCAGTCCTAGATTCTGAGCTGTGTTTTATTCACGATGAAACACGTCTATGACCGCTTCACCCAACTATGTATCACTACGCAACACCCCATAGCAACCACTTTCAGCAACTTAAACATAATAGTATAGAGTAGATCGAGTAAAGCGAGTGTACCTGCGTTTACAGTAGATGTAGCATTTTCCTTCAGGTCAGTCCTATATTCGTAATAAAATATCCGTTTGAATGTCCGCAGAGATATCTTGTCTTTTTAACAGTTTAACGGGTTTTCCCGTTCCCCGACACGCCAGGCATTTATCAGTTGCGTCTTGCTTTTCCGTGTTCACGCGTTTCAGTCCTTTCAAAAGTCATTTCTACTGACTGACTCACTCATAAAGACAGTCTTTGCCGCCATCTAATGGCGAAAAAATGTAACTTCTGTTGCTGTTTACGGTCAAGGGTGGGACTATTTTTTCCAGCGGAAGGGAGGCTTTTAGTGATTTTACTTTAATGAAAATTAGTTTAAATATTTTCAATATAAAAGTCTTTTCTGCTGACTGACTCACTCATAAAGACCGTATTTGCTGCCATCTAATGGCGAAATTA